TTTAAGATATAAAATAAAACAAAGATAATTTGTCGATCAAACCCAAAATGGTAAAAAGGCGTTGGGAGAAGCTCCATAAGTTGATGGGTAACAGAAGAGGCCAATTAGAATATAATAAGCGAACAAGTGAATTTCACTAATTTTTGCATTTTATCAACCACCCATCTATGTTAATAGAAATTATTCAATATACTAGCAATCTGACCTTATTTTACATGTGCTCTACAAGCTGCCCTATATCTTTCTTCCAAATGAATCTATATCATAAGCAAATAATTAGGGTTAGTAGATCCCACCAAATTTCATAAATGTTAATTACTTCCACATCTAGTAATTCTCTTGTTGGATTAGTGGGTTCAATAGTCTTAGTTGTTTTGGTACGATTAGATGGTGATATTACGTATTAATGATGACATGATATCACTATTTATTGAATATTTAATCATTTATGTCAGATGATAGCCACCTCATACATGATAATAATTACCAAATGTGATTCACTTGACATACTTGTAAGTTNGATTCAATAGTCTTAGTTGTTTTGGTACGATTAGATGGTGATATTACGTATTAATAATGACATGATATCACTATTTATTGAATATTTAATCATTTATGTCAGATGATAGCCACCTCATACATGATAATAATTACCAAATGTGATTCACTTGACATACTTGTAAGTTTACTATTGGATGATTACAATATGTCATCGTCATATTAAATATTTTCTCTATTTTTAAATATCTGTCGTTTAAAGTTTTTACATAGGAATTAAAAAAATTATTAAATAACTCTAATATGAGTAAAAAATAATGCACAAGACTAAAATATTCTTATTCAATACGTATTGAGAAGGAAAGAAATATGAAAGACACTTAGCTTCCACCTAATCTAATGCATTGAAAAGTTAATGGTAAATTTGAAAGAAAAAATATNCGTACTTGTAAGTTTACTATTGGATGATTACAACATGCCATCGTCATATTAAATATTTTATCTATTTTTAAATATCTGTCGTTTATAGTTTTTACATAGGGATTAAAAAAATTATTAAATAACTCTAATATGAGTAAAAAATAATGCACAAGACTAAAATACTCTTATTCAATACGTATTGGGAAGGAAATAAATATGAAAGACACTTTACTTCCACCTAATCTAATGCATTGAAAAGTTAATGGTAAATTTGAAAGAAAAAATATTAATTATGCTTTGATTTCATTAAACGACAGATATTATAAAATAAAAAAAAATTGTATAAAACGATAAATATTTAAGAATGAAAAGTGTATTTATTAATGAAATCCACAATCAATCTAATGGTAAAAAATAATTAGGTAAGCAAATAAGATAAACAAATTAAATCCAAATGNATAAAATTATGTAAAACGATAGATATTTAAGAATGGAAAGTGTATTTATTAATGAAATCCACAATCAAACTAATGGTAAAAAATAATTAGGTAAGCAAATAAGATAAACAAATTAAATCCAAATGACATTGTTCCATTCTAAAATGTCATGAAAAATTCATGAAACTATGTTGCTATAATATGGGGGAAAGAATAATTAGCTTGTGACCAATCTGATGTTTTTTTTTTATATGTACCTTATAAAGGAAAAAATATTCATTGTAACGGAGATATCACATCAACATTAATTCGTGATATTAATTATTAATAATATTTAAATAAATAAAAAAATAAATTTCACGTAAACTAATAATTACCTTTACATATAAATTAATAATTATCCGTTCTTCTTAGGTAATAACTATTTAAATGACATTTATTTTAAATTTTATTATTGATCAGTAATAACTAGCCGACATAATATTTTCTCCGTATCAATCTCCCAAAAAGTGAAAATTCTCAATTTTTTTCTTTTGCCNTTTTCTTAGGTAATAACTATTTAAATGACATTTATTTTATTTATTTTAAATTTTATTATTGATCAGTAATAACTAGCCGACATAACATTTTCTCCGTATCAATCTCCCAAAAAGTGAAAATTCTCAATTTTTTTCTTTTGCCACGTGGATAAAAAATTAGTCCTATGCAGCAGTCTTATTTTGTTATCATACCACGTGTCCTCTTCAGAAAACAAAATCTAAGAACATTTACTTGCAACTAAACTTTAAATTCCCAAAATGTTCGTCGGACTAATTTTTGTAGACAGAAATGCCCTCGAAGTCCAAAGAGTTGCCACTGAAACTCCCTCCTCTCTCTGTCCGTCTTGTCTGGCGCTTGTGCTTCGGTTGGGTCTCTTCTCTTTGTCTTGAGAGGTATATTCTCCGGTTCTATTCTCTCTCCAAAACAGTGATGACCACCACGTAACGTACATTTAAGAGAGAGAAAGAGGGAGATGCTCACTCAATAAACAGTTTTGTTAATTATATTCGTCTTCTTCTTTCTACCTCTTCATTGATTCCCAAGTTCTTGTTTTTTTCGCATTATTCGAAGGTGATGTCTCTGTTTCTTCACATTCTTTCATGGGTTTTCTTTATTTTTGGATATGTTTATCTCTTGGATTGATCTTTTTGTTATTCCATTCAATCTCTGGCCACTTGTCGATTCTCATTTTCGGAGTACCTCTTTAGTTTACTCGGTGCAATTTTTCTGAATTTTTGTTGGTATACTATTGGGTCTTTCAATTACAATGATGTGCTTCTATGCCACCATTTTTTATGTGGGTAGGTCAGTTGCAATGGTTGGTATTCATAGAGCTCTGAAACTCTTTTTGTTTAAGTTGATTTTATATTTTTGTATGATCCGTTTTGATGTGGTTTGGACAGATTGTTGGATGTTTTAATATGGTTATGGAGATTTTATGAAGATTTGATTCTAAAAATCTTGTCTTTTAGCATAGATTTGATGAATACGCTTAAAGATTTGTCTTTCGAAACCGTTGCTTGAAAAATGGGATGATAGTTTGTCAAGCATATTTCTTTCAGGTGAAAAAAAAAAAAANGCAACTAAACTTTAAATTCCCAAAATGTTCGTCGGACTAATTTTTGTAGACAGAAATGCCCTCGAAGTCCAAAGAGTTGCCACTGAAACTCCCTCCTCTCTCTGTCCGTCTTGTCTGGCGCTTGTGCTTCGGTTGGGTCTCTTCTCTTTGTCTTGAGAGGTATATTCTCCGGTTCTATTCTCTCTCCAAAACAGTGATGACCACCACGTAACGTACATTTAAGAGAGAGAAAGAGGGAGATGCTCACTCAATAAACAGTTTTGTTAATTATATTCGTCTTCTTCTTTCTACCTCTTCATTGATTCCCAAGTTCTTGTTTTTTTCGCATTATTCGAAGGTGATGTCTCTGTTTCTTCACATTCTTTCATGGGTTTTCTTTATTTTTGGATATGTTTATCTCTTGGATTGATCTTTTTGTTATTCCATTCAATCTCTGGCCACTTGTCGATTCTCATTTTCGGAGTACCTCTTTAGTTTACTCGGTGCAATTTTTCTGAATTTTTGTTGGTATACTATTGGGTCTTTCAATTACAATGATGTGTTTCTATGCCACCATTTTTTATGTGGGTAGGTCAGTTGCAATGGTTGGTATTCATAGAGCTCTGAAACTCTTTTTGTTTAAGTTGATTTTATATTTTTGTATGATCCGTTTTGATGTGGTTTGGACAGATTGTTGGATGTTTTAATATGGTTATGGAGATTTTATGAAGATTTGATTCTAAAAATCTTGTCTTTTAGCATAGATTTGATGAATACGCTTAAAGATTTGTCTTTCGAAACCGTTGCTTGAAAAATGGGATGATAGTTTGTCAAGCATATTTCTTTCAGGTGAAAAAAAAAAAAAATTCTGATGCATATGTCGGTTTTCACTTTTCAGTATAATAATTGATGCTCGATTTGGCCATTTGGTAGCTGTTGGGGCCAAATAATACCACTGGGTAACGAAAATCATGCGAAGAAAAAATGCATTTGTCAACTGATGTTTACTTTTATTTCAAGTGTAATGAGACCAAGTGTGGAGATTCAGATTAGTTCTTTTGTGAGTGAGGGAGATTTTGGCAATCTAGGTAAAGTTAAATCAGTCATTAAAGTGTCCACTTGTTTTTTTTTTTTTTTTTTTTTTTTTTT